TTCTGTCCACTTGGGCTGCTTCTATGGCTTTGATGGAAGCAGGAGAAAGGCCAGGGTACTCACACTGGCTGTATGCAACCATGTCGGGTTCAAAACGAAGATGGAGAGACATAAAGGGTTTAGGTATTGCATCTAGGAGCTGAGAGGCTTTCATTTCCAAGGATCTGGTGAGACGTAACGCCTTGTAGCAAGCTTGACAGAGAGCAGCTTTTGCGTACAAAGGGTATCTGCAAGGGTAGAAGAAAGACAAAGAACAGACAAACTTGGTTACAATACAACTTTGAAAAAATAAAAGAGGGTTGGGCGCACAAAATCTCAATTCTCGATAGCCTCCAGTTTCTACAGCAGTAGCCATTTTGGATCTAGAATAATTTTTTTCTACATTGTTCTCTAATTTAAGCTATTTGGCTTCTGAGGACTGATGTTGCTTGCAAAGTCATTAATCACATGGAACATAATATTACAACTCAATTAAATTGTTAGTCGGTATTATGTAGACCAAACTTTTTTGACAAGCTCATAGCAACTGTAGATGCTATATATTATTGCAGAAATTTTTTACAGTGGATGAAGACAAAGTCTATTAGGAATAAATTCACTTATAAAGTCATACTAAAATGCTAAGAATTTACCCATTATAGCAATTGCCATGATAAGGAAGTGAAATCCCCCTGTTGAAAACTTGAAATACAGGGAAAGGAAAGAACAAAAGATATTTGGAAGCAAATACCTATTCAGAATGAAATTATTTAGAACAATATCCAAGGTGTTAATGCTTTTAAGAGCAATTAGTTTCTGGTCATAGAACTAATAATGAATCAGTTATCACATGGTAGTTCAAGGAAGTGAGATTTATAATCATACCTGTCTCTTCTTTGGGACATTGCTGGTGTGATTGAAATGTACTTGTGTTTTAACAAAGATGGAAGCACACTTTCAACATAATCAAATTGCCCTTTCCGTTTGCTACAGTCCACTCGAACGGGTTCTTTTGATGCAATCTCTGGTGGTAACTCTTTGACAATTTTGACAAAGCCATTCATATGTTGTATAAAGTAGTCTACATCATATACATCTGCAAAACCACTGTAATGAACCAAGTATTCAGAAATCCATCCATTAAGCAGGACTAAATTTATTTATTGTCGACCAATAAACATAATTTTGAGTAAAATTTTGCTAAGAAGAATTCCACAGAAACGGAAAGGTAAATTGCCTTGATTCATTCCAATATGAAGCCACTTCAAACTTTGGTAGGACGAGGGTTGCATTTAACAGACGAGCGATGCCCACACCATCACAGAACTGCAACCATTGCAGATTTTATCTCAATTTTAAAAAAGAAGCAAAAGAGTATTCTAAGGATCTGGTGTAGAAATTCAAGAGTTTTCTTCAAGGACTCACATCTCTTCGCATCTGATTGAGGCCCCCGTAGCAATCCACTCTGATATATCCATTGGTTTCTAATGGTAGAGCTGCACCATTTCAAGAATAAACAAAAAAACGAAAGCAATTGTCTGCAATGAAAGCCAATTAAGGTTGATTCAGAAAATAAAAAGCCAGTCAGCAACCCTCACCCACCCTCAACAATTTAAACCCCCATCCATTGCATATCCTGAAAATCCAGGCAAGTCTATGCCCCAAATTCCAATTATTAAAACACAAGTAGATCTACTCCAAGCAATTTCCAAAACTTCAATTACTATATGACATTCATACCCAATTACCTATCCCTATGAGACTCTCACATTATTAAATGAATCTAGTAATCGCAAAAGTTCATTCATTCAAAACAACCAATTTTTAACCTACAAAGCTGAATTGATAAAGTAAAAAGTACCTGTTTGATGGCCTTGTAGCCACCAATTGCAAGGCCTCCATTCCACGAGTCTCCGAACACTCCATATATCCACCTCCCCCCTGCACAACAAAAATTAAAGAAGGTTACTTCCCAATATACTAAGTTCCAAATAGAAGGTGCCCAGTGACCAAGTTCAAAACTTTATGTCAGATTAAACGAGTAAAAAAAGAAGGGTATTGAAATTGTGAAGAACATACTGTGAGGGTTCCCCAAAAATGGGATTTAGAGAGAAAGAGGAAGGAGGCGATAGCAGTGCGAGAAGAAAGAAGAGAGAGAGGGAGACGACGAGAACGGTGAAGAAAGGTTTCACAGAGAAAACGACCATTTGATTTCACAGATCCCTGCTATTGCGACGACGATGGAAAATCTCTTTGCTCTGTGCATTCTACATTTTGGGTTTTCTATTCTCTTACTTATTTTATGCATTATACTTCATAAAATTTATGAAGTTTATTAGAATAAAAATTTAATAAGATTTTTTATATTACTTTTTAATTATACTGTCAAGAACAACGTATTTTTTTTTTATAAGTATTTTAGTATGCATAAATTAAATGTTTATTTTATATCTATATATAT